CATTCTGATTAATCCCTTTTCTCAAGTCTTCTCTCATTAGTGCTTTTAGATATAGCTCAACTAGCCTCACTCCCAAATTGCTGACTCCCTTTCTCCAACTTGAATTCTAGAGGGATGGAGAGGGGTACAACTGTCATAATCAATATGAAAAACTAATCAGTTTATTTTTGTCTTCCCATGCCCCTTCCTATACTTCTGTCTCCTATCACCTTATTTTCCTGATGGTATTCCCTTGCCCTCAGCCATGCCACTGTGCTCAGATGCCCTAAAACAGAGACAGTTGAGACAAGGAGTCTCTCCTCATTGATTTTGTCAATTTTACTCAGGGTTGTAACATTATCTCTGATTCACTATTATAATTCTGATCCTCCCCAATAAAACTGCCATTTCCTCACACTGATTTCACATAGATGAGGAAAAAATACGCTTTTTTCAAAGTCATCAGATACTCTTAGGTAACCTCGATAAAATGGGAATAGGCAGCATCTTTATGTATTTTAAGGGACGTATTTGGGACAAACAGAACTCCCTAGTACATCTTAAATTCATCCACCTGATTATCTTTAAGGCTGGTCCTTGCCATGAAAATAGCAAAGACACGATTTTCTGACTCCAGTCAATTACAGCAGAGACCATAGAAAATCAGCTGTTCTTTCATTTTTTTCCATCAGTTTTTGTCTCAACCCTCCAAATTTGGCCATTCAAGTCTAATATACATAATGATGGAAATAACTATTGATATTAGTTATTTTTAACCATTTAATATCTATACACTGATTAATAGATTTTAAATGTATGTTTTTACATATATTACATCATTTGATCTTCATTATAATCTTTAGATTAAAATAAAACAGGCATCATCTCCCTAATTTTGTAGCTAGAAATGAGGCTCTGAGAGGTAAAGGGGCATATTCAAAATCACCAAGTAGTAATGTGCTCAGCGAGTACTCAAAGCAGGTCTTGTGGCTTCAAGTTAAGTACTTTTTGCTGGTACCATACTGCTCCTCATTGAGGGCCAAAATTAACATTACAGAGAGTTGCACTTGGACAGTCAAGTCCTCAGCCAATCTGAACTGAGGATCCCTTTACTCATTGCTTTCTGGGCTTTGGAATTCCTTGTCATGAACTCCTCCCTTGCAGGAGACATGGGAGTATCCCACTTTGTATTCTTCACCAAATGGTAAATCTAATGTCAGTGAATTTTCAGGGTAAGTTATTTCTCTATTCAAGGGCCCTTTATAGTTACATTCTAAAGGTTATACTGAAATTAGTCATTACAGTGAGTCTATGATCTACTCATGTTCAATCCCAGTCTACTTTATTATAATTTTTATCGCCATAGTTTTTTCTTCCAGGTTACTCTTCCATGAAACTCAGACATAGACTCAACCATAAAAAAGTCACATTCTGGCCGAGCGCGGTGGCTCAAGCCTGTAATCCCAGCACTTTGGGAGGCCGAGACAGGCGGAACACGAGGTCAAGAGATCGAGACCATCCTGGCTAACACGGTGAAACCCCGTCTCTACTAAAAAATACAAAAAACTAGCCAGGCGAGGAGGCGGGCGCCTGTAGTCTCAGCTACTCGGGAGGCTGAGGCAGGAGAATGGGGTGAACCTGGGAGGCGGAGCTTGCAGTGAGCTGAGATCACGCCACTGCATTCCAGCCTGGGCGACAGAGTGAGACTCTGTCTCAAAAAAAAAAAAAAAAAAAAAAAGGTCATATTCTAACTAACTTAATATTATCTGTATAACCCCTACTATAAAGAAGCTTGATTTTGAGATCAAAGGCTACCCCCTAAAACTTCCAGCACTTCCAGCACTTCCCTATTCTAAAAGCAAATACACACAAGACATTAAATGTTTTAAATGTCTTATCAACAAAAGATTACTGAATAGTCAAATTTTAGAACAAGCAGGGATTTATGAACTAATCTAATCTAGAAATTTAAAACCATGTTCTATGAGTATAACTTACACTTCCTGAATTCAGTCATAGGAAGGAGAAAGAGAAAATGGCAGATATTCCCCCCCATCTAGTAACTATTATTTTCCCATTTATTAATTTTATTTTAAATATTATTTTAATATTAAATATTATTTAAATTTAATAATATTTTATTTTAACTAATAATATTTTGGGCAGGATAGTTTTTCTTTTAAAAATTGTTAATCTATTTTAACTTCCTCATCTTACAAACAATGAAATGGATATGCAGAGAAATCACATGTTCTGGCTACTACTGAAAAAGTTAGGCCTAAAATGCAATCTTCTATATCCATTGTTTTCTCTGCTGAGATTACCTTCTAAATCTATTGTTCTCTCTGCTGAGATTATCTCACCATTATTTGAACATCCTCATGAAGATGAATTAGTGTTAAAGATATTTTATGATTATACTAAGTATTCATTTCTGTTTGTAAACATATATTTCTTAAGCAAGGATCTTTACACGCTTGTATCTTCTCACCACAATCTCTAGCACAATGGAAGCTCAATTCCATTAGCTGATGCAATGAATATTTAAGCAAAGTGTCAGATATGCTTTATTCCTGTGTTTTTCATTTCATCATGATAATAGAGCATAATTATCTCTTCAGAACCCTAAAATGGGGTCAATATTACACTCAGTTGCCTTTAATTTAGACAAAAAAGAATACTTCAAAAAGTACACATGTGATTACTTTGTTAATTATTAATACATAATTGAAAATATTGGGCCGGGCACAGTGGTTCATGCTTGCAATCCCAGCACTTTGGGAGGCTGAGGCGGATGGATCACTTGAGCTCAGGAGTTTGAGACCAGCCTGGCCAACATGGTGAAACCCCGTCTCTACTAAAACTACAAAAATTACCCAGGTGTCGTGGCGCCTGCCTGTAATCCCAGCTACTTGGGAGGCTGAGGCAGGAGAATCATTTGATCCCAGAAGGCGGAGGTTGCAGTGAGCTGAGGTTATGCCACTACACTCCAGCCTGGGCAACAGAGAGAGTCTCCACCTCAAAAAAAAAAAAAATAATAATAATAATAATAATAATGGATATTCATTTGAAATTTCTTATGCCTTGCGCTAGTAGGGAAAATGAAATAAGTATATCGAGTGGCTCACTTTATGCATGATTTCCAGAAGTATACTTACAAATTCATGCAGAATGTGAAATGAAAACTCACAAACTTGTCTTGGTCACAAACTTGTATTGACTGGGTCTGTCACGTCTGTGGTGGAGAGCAAATGCTACCCATTTTTTAATATCTGTGAATCATAATCTTGTAACACAATTTATCCAAAGATAATACCTTGTTTTCTCTTAAATATTCTATAGCTTAGTGATTTATTAAAATGTGCATGTATGTGTCTACATCTTAGTAATGAAGTAGTATCATTTTTTAATGATTGAAATGAAGCTCAATTGATCATTTAGTTACTACATAAGCCACTGATATCTTCAGAAATAAAAAACAATTGTCTTTGTAAGTAACAGTAAATTCTTTCAAAACTATACTCTGATAAATTTTAAGAGCCTGTCACATTTTTTTGCAAGTGATAATGACTGACTCAAATATATATATTTGTGACAGTTAACTACTTAGTTCTCTCATGCTGTCTATCTCCATATGCAGAGAATATAGCCTTTTAAAAGTCAACTATATAAGGTCTCTATGTATGGAGAGAGAGAGAGTGCAAGAGAACTAAGTAGTTAACTATTAAAAATAATTTGCAATGAATTAAGGTAAACTAACAACTTTTTAGTTTGGGAAGGCGAATTTTGAAGGGTAACTGTGTCTCATGCACATAAACTACTTAGAATTTATCATATCATATTCCATTTATTTTGAAAACTGCTTTAAATATGTACTATTATATAACATGATGATACACTGTAATGCTTTAGAAAGTGTAGCAATTGTGAAACCATGCTATTACTGGTTGCTTATATCTATCAAAATATTTTTTGAACATGTTCTTCTATTTTTCCAGGAGTCAACACTTACCTGACATATTACATCATATTTTCTTATAGATATTCCAATGTTTTCTCATCTCAGATTATTTCTAACAATTATCTATACACCTAAATACATATATTGATTGTATAACTTTTTATATTTGAAAGCATATCACATATATTAAAAATATATCAAACTACAGTACATAAATTTCTAGGTAATTACTTGCATTTCAAATCTTCCCAAAGAGTTGAAATTCTTTAACACTATATTTATACATTTTTGCAAACTACTTACTAAATAAGACTTTGTCTTCATCAAATCATACAAATATAAAGTCTATCATGCAAAAGTTCCATATTCCCTGGTTCTTCTTAAACAGTATATAAATAGGCATATAAAATTACAAAAATTAGGATATATAAGCTTTGCAGTGATTTGTTTTCATGGCTTGATCATTTCATTATAGCCTTATGAATTTTGTCACAGTGTCTGCAACTAACAAAGGCAAGTTAAATATACACACTTGCACAATCAGTAAAAAGGTACAAACACCCTAGATCGTGCAGAAGATATACAAGGCCTCATTTTGGACGTTTGATCCACATGACATGCAAGCAATATTGTATCAGTAGTGCTTTTGGCAAAATTTATCGGTAGGGCTTTCTTTTGATGGATGACTTGTGTGCTTTTGGTTTTATTTATTTATTGTTTTGGCCTTCAGCATGCTATTTGTTGTTTTTTTCTGTAGGTGACCCCTGAAAGTACATATGTAAACTGCAGTGTAGAATGCAGTTCTAGAATATCTGTGGCAGAAAAACATGAAAGGGAGAGAGACAGAGACAGAGAGAGAGACAGACAGAGAGAGAGAGAGAGAGAGAGATGGTTTTATCTCCCATTATAGTCAGTGGTAAAATTTCCTTAAATACATTTTGGCCTTCACTTTCCTTTTGAAAACCTTGCTATGGGGTCTACTCGCCCCTTTGAGAGTACTGCACAACCTTCGCAAGAGATCATTTAGCACTAGTTTCCACCTTGGAGTAGATCTTCCTACCTTTCCAGTCTTAATTCTGTGGGAAATGGCTGCAAATCGATGGTTGAGCTCTGAGATTTGGGGCTCTACTAATTTCCTGCAGTGGTCACCGCGGTTTGCCATCAAGTTTGCTGCTTGGTCACGTGTAGAGTCCACCTTTGGGCGTATGTCATTCAGTTCTGCCTTTAAACGCTATATTCCGTGAGCAAGAGATAGGACTTGAAGTTAGTAATTAATGAAAGTCAAGATAGAAATAGAGAGTGAAACAGAGCGAGTGAGCCAGAGAGAGTGAGAAAGAGAGAGAGAGAAAGTAAGAAAATGAGAGCAAGCACATGCAGAAAATAGGGAGATAAAACCACAATTGCCATAAAACAGGAGTAAAATGAAAATACATGTGATTTCAGAAAAATAGATCACTGTCCTTAAGTTTGATGCATGTCTATTTAAAATGTTTATTTAGCCTGAGGAAGGACAGGGGTGTTTTCTTACGTTTTGCAACTATCATAATGTATTCTATTTAGTCTTATTTTATTATATCGTTACTGAATTTAATAGTTGTGGAATAAACTAAGTATGTGCTCAGGAGGGCAGGTAGCTGAAGAACACTTTTCTATTCCTTCCTGGTACTTTCAAGTTCCTCTTTGTTTATTACATTGAGTGTCATAAGAAAAAAAGTGATTTTCTAACACATACAAATTTTGTGTCACATACAGAGGTACTGAGGAATGTTCTTCCTGACCTGCCGGGTCACAGACGTTGTAAGTTAAATAACTCAGACCCTATTATTCAAAAAGCTTTGAAGGAATTTCACCATAAGATGACATCTCTGACTATACATCAAGGGACAATGAAGAGCACAATACAGATCCACATCAAAATAAGCTTCACACAATAGCATAAATGTGTTTTGGGGATAACCTGGAATGCATTTATAGTTTTTCATTAAAATATATTGTAATCTGTGGAAAATATGAAAATATCAGAGGCATAAAAATGAACTGCATAGAAAGAAACGTATTTTTTGAGTTTTCTTTAAATAGTAAACAACTAATCAATAAATTTATCAAACATTTCAGCAAAACAACATACAAAAATGTATTTAAAAGAGAGCTGTTAAAATTCAACTCTACCTATTTAACTGAGAAAGGAGACATCATCAAATAGAAACAATGTAGTATCAATAAGGTATATGTACATATTATACCTCTCATAACCTTTTATCAGAATCATTTTTTAAACAAAAGATGATTAAGTTGCCCTTGAAAAAGAAGACAGGGCTTCCTAACAATCAGTTTTGATACTAAAACAAAGACCCCAAAGCCTTGTTTACATGTAGTTAAAAATGAAAACCTCAGTTTTACATAAGCCCAACATTAACACTAATTACCAAGATTTGGATATGGCTCAGGCTAAAACAAAACAAAACAAAACAAAAAACAAAACAGCTGATTGGATTTCAGGTGTTGATTCAGATGGGCTGAATGAATGATGGTGTCAGATTGTTCTTTGTGTTAGACACAAGAATGTAGTACCACCATTGACATAGGCAGAAATTTGCAATATGATTTCAAAATAAATCTTGGAATCTGTTTCTGAACGGAGTTTACATTGGGTATAATTAACTGAGTGATGGATATGAACAGATACCCAGATTACAGAACTCTTCAAAATCATTAATTTCCATTCAAAGGGGGAAGAAAGGAAAAACGGAAAGATAAAAGAAGGAAGAAAGGATTGTTTTACTCTTATTAAGACATCCTTAGTATCTTTTAGGACAAATATGATTGAAGTAATTGTACAATTTGAACGTTACTTTTCATATTTTATTTGCTACCTTAAGCATGTCTTCTTTTTGCTGGGGTTTCTTTTTCTCTGATTCATCCAAAAGTGTGTCAGCCTGAATGATCCACTTTGTGATGTGGTCCACATTCTGGTCAAAAGTTTCCATGTGTTTCTGGTATTCCTTAATTGTACAGAGATATACCATGGCATTATTGGTTAGACAATATTCTTAAAGAATTTTTCCTATGTTCTAAAATTTTTAAAAGACAACAATACAGTTTCATTCAGATTAGTCTTAAGTGGTATTTTTATATAGAATATTGCTGAAATATAAATAAAAATATATTAAAATATTTGTTATAGATATTGAATTAGGAGCCAGCATATATGTGGACTTGAGAAATTTTCAAACACAAAATTATTACTGGTCACTTATATATCTTTTTCTCATGACAGAAAAGGGTGTAAAAGCTTCTAGCCTTTTCTCTTACCAACAAAAGATTTAACCACTCTTCTGTTCTTGAGGTGACAGCTATCCAGTTACTATTCAGAAGACTGAGTTTATCTTCCACCAATGTCTCCTTCTTGCCCAAAACTGTTTTCAAGGCCTCTCCTACCTCTGTGATACTCTTCAGGTGCACCTTCTGTTTCTCAATCTCTTTTTGAATAGCCTGTGAAAAGGATAGTATTGACCTTCAAGTAATATATTGCAGTCTTAAGATTTAATGCTTATGAAATGGCTTTCTCTACGGTTACTATGATTTTGCAAGGTTTTAAACCTGTAACTATGTATTAATGAATCATGAAAACCATACCATATATATTGCAGCTTCATTATTGGGTAACTATGAACATATATATGTACATAAGCATAATTCATGTCTTATTTTTCATCATACATATTTAATAAACATATTGTTCAACTAAATATATTTACTTAATTTGTTCATGTAGTGGCTAAAGGCAGACATTTGAAAACCCATCCACAAATAAGAAACTGCCTTTAGAAAATTCTGCAGTATGATGCTACTGTATTTCTGCAGCAGGGATTTTTTAGGCTCTTAGTGCCATGGATCTCTTTGGCATCTGTTGAAGCTTAAAAACCCTTTTTCAAAATAATGCTTTTAAAAGCATAAAACAAAATGCATGGATTTTAAATGCAAACAATTATACTGAAATACAATATGCAAAACATTTTTAAAATATTTGTGATGTAGTAATACATGTTTTATTTCCTAATATGTTAATTAACAAGATCTAGCATCAGGTCTTTAGGATAATTTCAATGTAGTGATGATGAACATAACTGGTATTTTTAAGTATATACAATGTCTGGAACATGTTATAAAAGTGTTTGTCATTTCTATTAGTGACAAAGTCATGGGTATTTCTATTGCTGGAGTTTGTTGCTCACATCTTTAATTGAAAAGATGCTTACTTTTGGTTTTAGGTGAATAAAAATAAAGATGTAGTTTTCCTTCAACCCAAGTTCACAGACCTTAATTCTATCCACATGCCCTAGACTAAAATCTCCTAAGAGAATACCACTATTTCCTAAGAGGTGATTTATACAACATGAAAACAAACACATTTAACATGAAAAAATATATAGAGTATTGATGGAAAAAGTGATCTTAGTACAAATGTTTACTACCTGCTCTGCATAAAACCCCTTTCCTGGTACATAGCATGGCTGACAGACAACGTGGCCACTCTGCATTCCACTGTGTCTGTGCCTGATTCCTTCCCCGCCTGTCTAGTTAGTCAGCTGTTGGACATTCACAGAGAGCTGAGCCAGAGCCCAACAGACCCTTTCTCCTTTCTCAATAAGGTTAACAGAAGAGACTGTGATTGTCACTCAAGTTGAAAAGCTATTTGTGAGTGGAGCTGATGTCTTAATCACAGAAAGCCAAAGCAAAACAAAATCATTGAGAAACAGCAATAACAGGAAAGTGGAGGAAGCCCAGCTACAAATAATCAATTAATAAACACACAAGGAGCAACTCTGTAAGGCCAGCCCATATCTAATTTCTTAAAAAAATTACAGTATGAGATTAAGAAACCAGGTATAGGCTGGTCTCACAGAGTCGCTCTCAACATGTCTTTTCTGTCTTTATAATATACCAAAGTAGTCCCGTGGCTGTCTTTCTGCCACACCATCAGGTCCTGGTGCACTCAAAATCACTTCTCATGCTTTTTGTTTTGGTTTTGCCTTTGGCATCAGATAAACAGGGGAAATAAATGAGGAAACAATACAAAAATTTTTATGCAAGACAGAATCACTGTTTTTCAATTCTAAGATACTGTTTTATGTTGCATTTTTTTTCAATATAAACATGCCTGAAATTAAGGTACTTAATGCCAAATGAACGTGACAGCTATCATGCATGGGGTTCTTCATATGTAGGTGCTATTTGTTGCACATGCGTGAGCTTAGCCATTCATATAGGCAATTTCTTCATTTATCAATCATAAGTGTTGCCTGAGCTCCTATTATATGCCAGTTACTACTGTTGCACAATCATATGTAATTCTCCTCAACATATTTTGGTAGATTATTAGAAGTATCTCATTTGGGTAGACACAGCCTCTTTAGAGCTTGACTTTAGAGTAGACACAGACTACATTTTATCCCTTTTAATACTTCGTCTTCACCCATTTTGTAGTATACAACCTCTACAACCATAGATGTTAGCCATTGTTACTAGGCACTGTGGGATAAAATGGTAGAGAAGTCCCCGTCCTTCAAAAACTTATATTCAAGTATGAGTTTGTCAAAGAGATGGACATATATGTAAATGAGAATTATCTACTTACTATATTCCAGTCTAGTGGCATGTCACTGCAGTTAATTTATTCACAAAGGTAACACTTCACAAAGTTGAAGCTTAATTTATATTTGGATTACTATCTCTTAATATGTCTTCATAAAGATGACACTATATTTTAGCATCAATGTAAAAAGTTATTGTGTACGTAGATTTTTGTTTCTTCCGTGACAAGCAATGCAATTAAAGGCAATGGAATTTTCCAAAACTCAGAGGAGATCAGAAAAGTTTTGAACTTAGGGGATAATGTTGCAGGTAGTTCCTGGCTCACAAAAACTATTATGCATCAACATCTGGCCAAATTATTCCAGTTAATTTAAATAATGTCCAGTGATGTTCATTTGATAGGAGCAAAATAGGAAAAGTGGACTAATTAATAGTGTCTTCTACAAAATTATAAATTAAGACTAAAAGATGTTCAAGTTATCACCATGATGAACTTGTATTTGAAAAAAGCAGTGATATGATGGTGGTTTATAAATGCTAATGGTCAAAAGTGATTCATAGGAAAATTTACACTCTGTAAAAAAAAAAAAAAAAAGAGAGAGACCTAGAGTTAAACCTTTATGCATGCTATTCAACAATAAACCAGTATTCAATCATTTGTATGAGTGCTGTTTTGGATTAGGAAAAAATACTGTGTTAATTTAGTAGGTTTGAAATTTTTCCCCTTAAATGTGTTTTTAATCCAAGGTACGACTTAAGAAACAAGACTTTAATAAGACTTAGCCTTTAAATACTATGCTGAACTTGCTTTCTGAAGATCTCAAATAGTAATTGACCAATGTATATCAGGTGCCTAATATCTAGTCTGTACTGTGCTCTTCACTGCCAGAGATGAGGAATGAGGTAATCTTTGCAAACCTCACTCTAATCATGCCTACAGTGTCGCTGCAGAGGAAAACTTAAATGTAATAAAACAATTTGATATCATACTAGAAAAAAATCACATTTTTTGGAAACAGATGAGCCATGGCTGGAATAAGCATGAATGACTACAAGGGAGAGGTGACACTTGAAGGTGAAGTGTGCCATAAAGCATGGAATGGTTTGGATTGACTAAAGACAAAGTATGAAGCAATGAGAAGGTATGAAAGTTGGAAAAGACTGCCATAGAGGAACAGGGAATCCTTATTGTAAACTAAAAAAGAATACATTTGATGAGGTTGCTGAGGAACCATTTTCTCTGGCTTTACTAGTTTCCCGTAACAGAAGAATGTCTGCATCTTCAGATGTATGGCGAACCAACCTAGAGCTACTGCCTTGGCCATTCCCTTTATACCTGTACTCATTCCTCTCAAAGGCAGCTACTTATTTATAGGGTTGGCGAGATGGAAAAAAAACAGCTGAACATATATGGCATTTCCTCCTTTTCAAAAGCATCCAATTCTCAGCATACATGCCTTCTTCTGCCTTGTGAGGTGAGAGGTAGAGAGGGTTCTGGAAGATCTACTCTTCTGAAGCAGCAAGTTCAAATTCAATGACTAAATTCACTAAACCGTAACTCAGACACTTTAGGTTTTTCAATCATGTAGTAATGTGATAGCTGCTAGGATCGATTTTAAGGCTGAAGAAAAAGCAAGATTGTGTACACTCAGTTTTAATTTGACCTATGACATGACTGTAAGTCCACCTTCAGGAGACTCAAGAGAAGCTGAAGGCAAACTATATACTTGGCACTAAGGGTTTTTACGATAAAGGGGAAAATATCTGACATAAGTAAAGTCCAATTAAACTATAAATTGCCACAATGTCTAACATATTATTTATTTTCCATATGTTACTTTGTAACATTTGATAACTCCAGTATAGATAGTCCAAATACTAAGCACTAACTTCCATGATTTCAAACAAATTTGCTGTCTACTTCTTAGCCATAATAATTTGTAAATGCTACTCTAATTTCCCTATTATAAAAGAATGAGTATAATGAGTTAATTTATTCCAGTGAAGTCATACCCCATGTTGATGGGAAGGATGAAGAATGCATTCTGATTCATTCCCCATATCCACAAGTTTAATTGCTTGTAGAAATTTAAAATGGCATGTTAGGTTCAGGGTTCAGCTATCAACTCACTTCACTGATACAGTAGCAAGATGAAAAAACCATCTCCATTCGTCTCTGCTGATTATACCATCAGCATTTTTCATCATTTTTATTTAATGGTAGAACAGTAAAAATTATTGGAACAATTATCTGGTCCCATAGGAACACCTTTACAAATATTTTCCTTGAGGGTAAACAAATGTAGCTCATTTAACCTCCATACTCTCCTCTACCCATTTCACATTTTCACAAGTTTTCCAATACCTTCCACAAATTTTCTTGGAATTTCTCAGGGACTTATATTCTTAAGATAACTTCTCTGTCTGATCTCCTGTTATTGTCACCATTTATTTATTTATTTATTTATTTATTTATTTATTTATTTAATTTTATTTTATTTATTTGAGATGGAGTCTCGCACTGTCGCCCAGGCTGGAGTGCAGTGGCACAATCTCGGCTCACTGTAAGCTCCGCCTCCCAGGTTCACGCCATTCTCCTGCCTTAGGCTCTCAAGTAGCTGGGACTACAGGCACCCGCCACCACGCCTGGCTAATTTTTTTGTATTTTTAGTAGAAATGGGGTTTCACCATGTTAACCAGTATGGTCTCGATCTCCTGACCTCGTGATGTGCCCGTCTTGGCCTCCCAAAGTGCTGGGATTACAGGCGTGAGCCACTGTGCCCAGCCTACTCCCTCTTTTTAACCAAATTTTATTATCTTAAGAGTGTCCTGTTCTGTAGAACCTATCTTCAATCAGCACCACATTTATTTAACTATGTACCTTAACATCATTTCCT